GGCGCGGATCCGCAGATCCCTCCGCCCTGCTGGTCACGGAACTGGGCTGGACCAGCCCATAAACCGTTGACACTTGTGTCCATTCAAAAACAGACAAAACAAACAAACAAACAAAAAAAGGGATTCTGATGTGTTATAATGATGTAAAGTTGTTTTGAAATGATCCTCCAGATGTAATTATCATTTATTGGCAAGCAAATCCACAAAATAAAATGCTGTGACAGTGTAAAGGAGAACATACAGTGTGTGAATTGCTGCCATTGCCAATGAAAGAAGTTTCACCACCTTGCTGAAGTGATAATCATGGAGCTTTATGTGTAATATGCAACTTGCAAGGAGGTCAAGAGCTACAATACCAGGAGCACACAGATGCCAGTGGTGCTGTATTGTGCTATAGCCTAGGTGATGCTCAGGAGACAAGCTAGTCTGACCGGAGAAAGCTCATCACTCTTCTGCCCTGCTTACAAAACAACACTTTTGGCTCTTAGGCTCCCTAAAGCATGTGTCTTGTGGTTCCTAAATACACCAGTGTACTGGTAACCTGGTCACAGAGTCAGGCGTATTAATTGTGCTTGTCCATCTCTAGATCTGGTGTGCTGCAGGACAGAACTTTTCCCAGACACAGCACATAAGAGAGTGTGAATGACAAACATAATTGATGGACACTGACTTTGATCCAATTGTACCTTACATTCTTGCCTCCTCATCATAAGAGGGGTGAACCAACACTGAATTCTGGCCATTGATCCCATTAAAATACCAAATGCAATTTGTTTTGCCAGCTGAGATGACAACTAGTCCTTGACAGCAGTCACCACCTGTCTCTTTTACTTCAGGCTGAGCAGCAGGTGAGGCACAGGACAACAACATCAAGGAACTGAAAGACCACTCACATGGACCAACTTTGCTGCTCCTCCCTAGAGGATTTGCTTTTTCTCTATGCTGATTATACAGACAGTCTGTGATCTGGATAGTGTTTATTTAGGCAGGGTGGCATGAACACCCAATGAAATCATAGCATCAATACCAGTATTGATCAGTTGGAAAGCAAAAGCTATACATTGGATGTTCTCCTGTAAACACTGAAGCCAAAGGAATCTCCAGAAGTCCTTGACTTCTAACCAAAGTTATGAAGGCAGTGACTGTCACCAGCACTCACAAAAAGTGCTGGCTGGCTGAAAGAAGGGTTACAAAAGGCAGCCCTGACATGTTCTGAGGCATGAAGAAATTGCATCTGAAATTATTTGATGACAATTTTCTCACTACAGGAAGCACAGTTAGAGGCACCCTAGTGATAGATGAGACTCAGCAGGAGCAGCACAAGTTATGGAGTCCAACGACCCATGCAAAGGCAAATCACTGTCCTCCTCAGTAGGCAGGATTGCTGCTAAAGCCACCAGGAAAAACACAACTGTGTCAAAGCTGTGACAGTCATACATTCCATTGCTAGTAAAAAATAATCTTTTTCAAGTCTCTTTCTTCTATTTCCCTCAAATATTCAACTCACAAACTCTTTTGAGTTCCAGGATTACTGAATTCTGCAGCAGTTGATGCATCAGGGATCAGCAGAAATGTGGGTTATGTGTTAATGCAAACCCTGATGAGTAGAACTGCTACCACACTGACAAAGTGTTCACAGAAAGGTCAGTATATGAAAACTGGTATGATTCTTTCAAAAATGTTCGTCTTTAGCATTTCATAAGGCTTTGTGAAACACTAAAAATCACTTTAACTCTACGGATGTAACCAAGCACTATATTTATGAATACAAAAATTTCAGATTTTTGTCTCGGTGTCTATGTGTGAATTTCTTTTATTAGATAATTATCACATTTAACATTATTAATTCTATTTTACCTTGATAATTTTTTCTTTCCTTTAGTGTTTCCACAAATTATTCCAGCTGGGAAAAAAAACGGAAGTATTGTGACATCCCCCCAAGCCGGGCAGAATGCAAATTTACACTTCAAGTCCTTGAAAGGATCACTTTTTAAACAACAATAATAAGAAAAAAACTACTCTTTCTCATATTTCAAACAGAAAAAAGATACTGGTGTCATTGATAGAATAAAGTTTTGAGTTACTGTGGATAATTTTAACTGAACATTTTATCTTAATAGAAATTCCAAACAGCTTCACAGTTAGTTTATCTATTTTAATCATGGCTATTCTACCACTTTCACCACCATGTATTTTCTGTTCTACTCTACTAGAGCAAAAACCACTGCAAAAATATCCCTTTTATGCATGTTGTCAGAAAAGAGATCTAAATCTTTGTCAGCCAGACCCAATTTTACTTAAAAAATGGTGCTAACCTTGAGTATGTACCTACTCCTCAGTCACTACAAATTCTTGGGATTCCCTCTCTACAGACATTTACATAATTATTGAATGGCTTTATCTGTCATTCCACTGGAAATGACAGATTGCCCTTAACAGTTTTAAATCCATATTTTATATCCTTCATTGTTTTAAAATATTTTTGAGGGTCAAAAATAATATTCCTCTGCAATGGATTCTACCCTTCTTTAAGAAAATGACTTAGTAACAACCACTATCATGGTTCTTCTGTCTGTTTGGAATTCCAGTCAACTCACCTTGGCCCCCAATAGACTGAAAACTCAGAGTCCCTCACTTTAAGTGTGGGACTTAACTAGCCAAAGCATATCTCTTTCTGACTCTTGTTACAACAGAGAGAAAGTCACTTTTTAGAATTTTCTTACCACTTCTAAGCAGATAAAATGGGCAGGGTAACTGTTCGTCAGTGCCTCTTTCTTTCCACTAAGTATGGAAAGAAGCAGAGTAACTTCCACAGATGTAGCTGTCTGAACTACTGGCATCAAATGTGAATTGTATCTCATCCCAGGTGTCAGAAAACCTGATCTCAACACTAATGTACAAATCGTTTCACAGAGAGTGTAAGAGTATATTATTGCAGGCCTGCTTCCTTCAAATATGATTCACAGGAAAGTAGTAAGTGCCCTCTTGCAAAGAAATACACAGAGAGAACATACATATATAGATCCGTATATATAAATAAAAAACATTGTTCTGCTGGAAAGTACCTCTGAAGAAATGCCCTGATAGAAAGGATGATTAGGCCACACTGTTTTGCACATTTATTTCTATTCTGCAAAACACATAATTCACTGCACTGGACACATTCTCTGCCTGGAGCTTTCCATGTATGAGGTTTAAGATGACTTCATGAAAGGCAATAAAAAGCACTACCATTTATCGTTATATTCATTGCACAAATCACCTCTTGGATCTGAGAAAAGGGGGCAAAAAGCCACAATGGCTTCAGATCCACTATGGAAAGAGCATACCAAATACATCATCAAGTCAAAGGCTTCCTGTGCAAGAGAAATTGAAGTGATTGAGTACAGCAGCATTATCCATTACAACCATTAGTCATCTGAATGGAGGCTGTTGACATAAAATCAGAACTGGCTGGCTCAGACATTTGTGGGAAAGAATTGAACACACTCCTGTTTCTCCACACACACTCTAGAGAGAGAAAAAATGCCTGAAAATACTACATAACTGCACAGTCTGGGGTGAGCTCACGTGAAGATACCAAAAGCAGCATGGAGACAGCTTCGTGTATGAGGCTGTAAAACATGTCAAGTTTGTTTCTTAAAATGCAAGTAGACAGAAATTCAGAAAAAAAGCGTCGGCTCCTATTTCATATTTCCTGTTATTAGCTATCTGAAACATCTTCTCTTCCTTTCCACCGTTACCAAGTCAAGCATGTCAGCTATTGAAAACTCCAGTCCTAGTCTTTTCTGTTACTGTTTTCTGTCAGTAAGTAGAAATATATATTATCAGCTGATGAATCTTCCCTATGTGCTTTCCATTGAAAAGGGCAAAGAAATAATAACTGTTAACAATGTCCATTAATTAATCCTACTTCAGCAAGAAAAATAAGACAACAAGACCTTTCCAATTGAAAAAAATGAACATTTAAAAGAAGATCATGAAAGTGGGATGTGACAAAAGGATGAAAATTGAGATTGTTCATATATTTTGTCTGATGTTGAGCCTATGAGCCCCAACCATGGCACTGTGCCGAGGGCTACATGCATCTTCTAGAGGTTGCTCTTGCCCCTGCCATGTATCACCTCTTTACAGACCACTTTTTAATTTCCAAACACAGAATACAAAGTTTAAATTATTTCTGTTGTCCAAATTTATTATCACTCTATGACAAGAGGCTCCAGAGATTTCTCCATTTAGGCATTTTAAAATGAGAGTGTATCTCAAAGTCTAGAAATCACTGACGTTTACTTCTTTGTGCCTCCTAAAATCTTGGACTAGATTGTTATTCCTTTGTTTTCCCAGGAAGCCATGTATTTTTTCAAAATCGAAAGATAGGCTTGATGAAGCTTTTTTTTCAAAACCATGCACACAATCTTTGCTTTCACTACAGTTACAGTTATGTTTTCTCTGCATGAAAATGAATTTAAATAAAACCTTAAGTTTATAATTACATATGTTTATTATGTTACACTGAACTAAAACTAAACCAATTACACTAAATTACTAAATTAAATTACAAATGAAAGAATTTCATGGTGTACAATTCTGTGGTGAGAAAGTCATTCAAAGTCTAGTTCTCTTTATAAGGACTTTCAAAGTATGTTAAGAGTAGGAAAATTGACTTCCTCTTCTTAATAGGATACAGGTTGGTTTTTTTGTTTGTTTGTTTGTTTGTTTTCTGCATGTTTTTTTTTTTAAAACATGACTGAAACATTACATACAAGAACAAGGCATACTACATGATTCAAGAAAATTTTAGTTCTCACTCAAAAATATTTGATTATAACATTGGACTGTGAAAATAATTGAGGATGTCAATTCTCAGAACGAGCACTGCTCTGCTGAACCAATCACAGAATCACAGAAGGGCCAGGGTTGGAAGGGACCTCAAGGATCATGACCATCCAACCCCCCTGCCACATGCAGGGCCACCAACCTCCACATTTAATGCTAGACCAGGCTGCCCAGGGCCCCATCCAACCTGGCCTTGAACACCTCCAGGGATGGGGCATCCACAACCTCTCTGGGCAGCCTGTGCTAGCACCTCACTACTCTCTCTGTAAAGAACTTCCCCGTGACATCCAAACTAAATCTTCCAGCCTTCAACTAAAAACCATTTCCCCTAGTCCTGCAGTTATCCTACCTTTCCAAGAGTTGATTCCCCTCCTGTTTGTAGGCTCCCTTTAGGTACTGAAAGGATGCAAGGAGGTCACCCCACAGCCTTCTTTTCTCCAGGCTGAACAAGCCCAGCTCCCTCAGCCTGTCTTCATAGGGGAGGTGCTCCAGTTCCCTGATCACCTTTGTGGCTCTCCTCTGGACCCTCTCCAACACCTGTCTTTTTTGTACTGGGGGCTCCACACTTAGATGCACTATTCCAGATGGGGCCTCACAAGAGCAAAGTAGAGGGGGACATTCACCTCCCTGTCCCTGCCAGCCACCCATCTTTTGATGGAGCCCAGGATACCATTTGCCTTCTGAGCAGCAAGGTCACATTGCTGCCTCATGTTAAGTTTTTCATCTATCAAGACCAACAGGTTCTTTTCCACAGGGCTGCTCTCAAGGACTGCTCCTTCCAGTCTGTATGGATGCCTGGGATTCCTCTGGCCCAAGTGCAAAACTCTGCACTTTGCTGTGCTGAACCTCATCAGGTTCACCCGGGCCCACCTTTCAAGTCTCTCAAGGTCCCTCTGAAAGGCATCCCTTCCTTCAACTGTGTCAAAATTTACAGTTTACTGTAAATTTCCAGTAAAATGAAGTCATTGGGACAACAGTGATTTACAGTGACTGAGAACACAGCCTCCAATGCTGTAAGTGAGGTTACATATCGAAAGATGTTTGGTTTTGCGTGGCACTGCCTTAGTGTTTTAGTATGAGAGATAGCTATTTGGAATAAAAATACTTCTGGAAAACAGAAGAGAATGCCCAACCATATGCTGTATCCTGAATAAGAAAAAAACTAAATACACTTCTTTCTTTAGTAACGTGTTGACTTTCATAAGTCCTCTACTGAAGCCACACCATCCTTACACACAACTAGGACAGACTGATCCTATCTTCATATATTTACACAGTTGGTTATAAAAAATAATAATAATAACATAAAAATTTGTTTGAGAAGCAGGCACATAATTTTTTACTTAACTATGCAAGACCTGGCACTGAATTGAATGTAGTCCTTCAAAGGGCTCCGGGATCAGCCCGCAGAATCACAGAATGGGCTGGGTTGAAAAAGACCACAATGATCATAGAGTTTCAACCACCCTGCTATGTGCAGGGTCACCAACCACCAGACCAGGCTGCCCAGAGCCACATCCAGCCTGGCCTTGAATGCCTCCAGGGATGGAGCATCCACAACCTCATTGGGCAACCTGTTCCAGTGCATCACCACCCTCTGAGTGAAAAACTTCACTTCCTCCTAATATCTAACCTAATCCTCCCCTGTCTCAGTTTAAAGCCATTCCCCCTTGTCCTATCACTATCCACCCTTGTAAACAGTCATTCTCCTTCCTGTTTATACACTCCCTTCAAGTACTGGAAGGCCACAATGAGGTCTCCCCAGAGCCTTCTCTTCTCCAAGCTAAACAAGTCCAGTTCCCTTAACCTTTCCTCATAGGAGAGGTGCTCCAGCCCTCTGATCATCTTAGTAGCCCTCCTCTGGACCCACTCCAAGAGCTCCACATCCTTCCTGTACTGGGGACTCCAGGCCTGGACACAGTACTCCAGGTGGGGCCTCACAAGAGCCAAGTAGAGGAGGACAATCACCTCTCTCTCCCTGATGGCCACCTTTATGTATCCTTGCAAACTTTCAGTTGAAATCCATCATTAAGCTAAAGCAATTAAGTCTGACGCCAATATGTAACAGACTTCCGTTTGTCACTGGATCCAGAAATGAATAAAGCCAAGTGCAAATCTGTATGTCAAGAAGGAAGAACAAAAACACATCCACCAAATTTTCTCTGTTAAATATTCAAGTGTTAGGAAAGATTTAGAAGTTAAAATCTCAGGGGATGAAAAAATGAACTTTCAAAGGAGTTTTATGTCAGTAAAAGCTGGGAATCTTAGATGTGAATAGCAGTGAGAATAAGAGTTGAGATGAAAAATGTAACTCTTAAAGATGAAAGTTCAGTTCAGTTTAATACATTTCTGCAGAAGTCCACACAGAACTGTGAATATGAAACATTCCCTTCTCTTTGCGATTGCAACTACTTATACATATATTAAACTTGTAGAAGGGCCAATTGGATATTTTCTCACTACAATGTTTTCCATAGGAAAACTTATTCATGAAAACCTATTTTTTTTCATGGGAACAGAAAAATCTGCCTCGGCAGGAAGGTTTTCCTCTCTTACATACGGGAATTACTTTCCACAGCCAGCTGAAACATCTGGACCGAGAATGGTCTGAAGCTTAGCATCATGTTGCTCAGCAAGAGCCAGGCTGTCTTTAGCAAGATTCAGAAAGCAGGTGTGAATCCCCATGTCCCCAAGACCTGGTGGAACTTTTGGCCAATACAGCGCTGGATACCATGTGAAGAGATTTATGCTCTCCTTGGTGAATAGCTAAATGTCTGCTGAAGCAAGCAATTGAATTTGGAGCTCCTACCTCCCAAATTAACTCATTAGCCATCCAGATAACGATTCAGTTTAATGCTATTCTGTTAAGAGCTGTTTTGTGACAATTAGGCATTCAGGGAGACAGACTAAGCGTACCTTACTATATGCTCATTCATCACAGCAGTGTTTGAGAAAACATCCGAAGGTAGTGAAGTATTTTCTACATTTCTGATAGAAGAGTTACTAACTCTGTCACACAAAACACTCATTCTTAGTGTGAGCTTAGGTAAGACAGTGTTGGGACGTGTCTTGAAACACTTGCAGGAACATAGCTATGTACTATAGCTATATATATAAATCTAGTCCCATCCAGACTGTTATTTTTTTTTTTTCTTTCAATTTCTTCTTCAATAATGCATCTCAGATTTCTCAGGAAGAAAATGCAAAAATACTATTAAAACTCAAATTGTATCAGTTATCTTGCATTATCCACTAGGTCAGATATTTCTTCAAAGTATTAGCTAAAAGTTTTTTGCATGGAGCACAGACATATCTGGTGATGAGCTCCAGAATATTTAAACCATGACTAAAATTGCAGTAAAGCAACCCAGTCTGCTGCTTGGTCTGAAGCAATATTAAGAGCCCAGAGATATTTTATAACTGTTCACTGAGTCTCACTAAACACTTCACAAAAAATCACTGACAAAACAGCAATGGAAACCAGAGGATCCTGCAAGGACATGCAGATGCTTACCTCTTGATTACATGTTGTTGTAAAAGTGTCTGTGTACTCTGCAAGGGCAACGTCGTTCACCAAGCTCCTCACCTCTTCATCAAACATGGAGTTGTTAAATCCTCTACGGTGAAACTCACCATGCATCCTGATAATGAAGCTGTTCCTTTCCTGGCATTTTCTGGTCAGGCAAGCCAACTTAGCCTATGCAGAATAAACACATAAACAGTGATCTTGTTCCCTGTTCAGACTGCAAAATTATATTCTGAGTCTGGTGAAATTCCACACCTTTTGACCCAAAACTGCGCACTGTAGTCCTATACTTCTAGGCCTTTCAGGTGCTTCTGCATCCTGCAACAGCAATATGTACATACAGATAAACTGAAAAGAGGCATTCACTTTTCTACCTGTGAAAACCCGCTTTTGCAAGCTATAATAACAGCCAACCTCACCTAAACCACTGGAGCAAACAACTCAGTTAGGAGGAACTGCAGAAAGCAGCTACAAAGAGAGAAGATACAAGATGCTGAAAACAAGAGCAAGCCTGCAAATACAGGGATATTCCTTTGCATCAGCCTTCAAGATCATATATTACCTTTAGAGGAGCTAGTGTCAACATTGCTTCAGACTTTCTCTTCTGGAGTTCTTTTGTCTGAAAGGTAGAAAAACATACCATATTAATATTTTCACTTAGAAATATTGCAGTAGTTTTTGGATATTTGTTTTAGACTCGACTTCTGAAGCATATACTTCACATAACTGCATGACCTTGTATCACAAACACCCTGCAGTAATGTACGGAGTTGTTTGTACACTGATAAGCCCTAGCATTGATGTTAGACTCATGTATTACCAAGTGCTTTCGGATGCTTTTAAATGGAACCCTATATCATCAAAGCCACATCACATTAAAGACTTGATACCATTCATTATGCATTCATACTCCCATTTGATCTGTGAATCCTTCAAAATACTGTTTTGGGGAAAAGTCTTCCCCTTTCTTATTTATGTTATGTTGTAGAGAGCAAGAAACACAGGGAGATTTCCAGCACATTCATTCCGTTGCAGGCTTTCATAAGTAAACATCAACAATTTTCTGCTTTGAAATGATGGATACATTTCCCCTAGTATGAGGTGAGGCAGATGACCTGATTTGTACTTCATGATATAAATGCTTACTATTTACGAAAAACCTGCTTTCTGATAATACAGAAAATGTATTATAGTCTGTCAGGTAAAATCTCCTTCTACTATAAATGAATACAGTAATATTTGGGGAAAAAAAAAAAAAAAGAAAGAAAGAAAAAAAAAGAAAAAAAAAGAACAGATTCCTTTGAATTCATTTTGTTTGGTTATTTGTATTTCTATGAAGGCCATAGTAAATATATAATGTGCATTAAAAAGAAAAAAAAGAAAAAAGAAAAAAGAAAAGAAAGAAAAATATTCCCTTTATAAGAACTCAATCACAGTGAAAGAGGTCACCCAATCTTTAGCCAATAAATTATGGACTTGGGAAGGAGCACAGTGAATAGGACAGAGAGACGCCCTTACATTACACTTGTACTGAAGGAACAAAGGAAAAGCTGGCAGTCGGTCTCTTCACTGTTGACACTAAATTCTTGATGAACAAATTCTGCATGGAACAAAACACTTTGCTGATGCAACAGAGCAATTAGGAGCTGCCCACTTATGTGGATAGCACGTCTCATCCTTTGCTCACCTACCATCTGATATGCACCATCCATCAATGCAGACAGCAGATGCTATAAAACAAATTCATTTTACCAGCACTATTCTGTTGAGAAGCAGCCTAATCAACTCCTGAGAGAGGCCACTAGTTCTCCATGCAGTGTTCTTTAAAGTAAATCACAGCACATAACAAGGCAGTGGATTTACTGTGGAGGAAGGAGAACGAAATTCACACTCTGCAGGAAGAAAATTCTTTGTATTTCAGAGAAAAGACAGAGAAGAAGCACATCCCATGTGCTCTCTGCAGGGCACAACTGAGAAAACTCTGTTTACTAGTAGTTTCACAGCACAATGGACAATTCCAATTTGGCTCACATTATAACAGTCATCATTAAAAAAAAAAAAAAAAAAAAGTTCCAAAGAAATAGAAGATTAAATCTAAGGAAAAAAAAAAGCCTTAACAGAAATTCATTCATTTGTCAGAGATCATCTAAGAGATCACTGATTGTAGTCACACTGACAGCAGTTTGAATTTAAGGCAACAGCTCTGCAAGGGTTAATGAGTGTGGCTGCTCTGGTGTGCCTGCTGAAATACAGAGTGCAGACCTAGAAACTGTTAATGTAAGTAAACCTGCATGTACATTGAAGCTTTTCAACAGAATAATAATGTCAATTAAAAAAAAAAAATGTACACCATGCATACAACTGAATCTCTAAATATGTAACCCCAGCTGCTGGATAAAAAAAAAGCCACAAAATTCTGGTGCGACAAGGCAGCTGGGAATGTTACAAATTCTGACAACATAAGCCAAGGAGGTGGCTTGGTAAGAAAACTCAGCACTTTTCTTGGATTATGATATGGGGATTACAGAAGAGACTGGTGGCAAGTTTTTATTATAGAGAGACTATCATCTTTCCATAATGTTGACCACCCAGGCAGTTTACATCTTTTCCTATTTCTCTGAAGTCAGGGGGAATTTGATATGCCTGTAAACCACTTAATTATCCCCAGACTCATTCCCAGGGAAAAAAAGAACAGAAAAAAAAAGACTATTTTGGCTCCTTCTTTTGGGAAGAAAGAAGTCGAATCTGAAGTCTGAGCCCACATCAGTCCACCCATTCAAGCACACAGACATCAGCTTGCTTATACCTTTTCACACAGCTGAGCCTGAAGAAGTTCCACTTTATTTTCCAAGTTGTGAAACTGATTTTGTAATGCAGTCTGGTCCCTGAGCTGGGCTTTCAAGGTCAGTATTTGCTGCTGTAATCTCTTACTGGATATTTTATTTTCCTCCATTTCCTGGGCATCTTTCATGGTGTACATCGGCTAGAGAGCAAACACAGAATTTCAGATTAGATGTAGAAAATAAAATATTTTGAATCATGCTTTCGAGCAACGTATCTACATTTTAACTCAATTTTTTTAAGCTAATACAAAATGTATGATTTCAAATCTTTATGAACATAGGAGAACTAGTATCTTGCAAAAATCTTAGAATTAATTACGAGCAAGGAGTTCTTGATTCCCTCTGAAAACAGGTATAGAACTGGGATTTCACAAAGTTCCTTCAAGGTAAGTATTGTATTATAATCATTTCATACATGGGGAAACTGGGACACAGAGAGATTAAGTGACTAACCTAAGGTCACACAGTTAGTGAGGACGGAATTCAAAAGTCCCCAGTCTCCTGCTCTAACTGCTATATAATACACCGCTTGGTTTGCACATGTGTTCTTCTCAGAGAGTAAATGGCATGTTTTCAGTTATCTTTTATTTTGGAAGATAATTAATAAAAATAATTTGATTTTAAGTGCACATTTAAAAAAAAATTAAAAATAAACTATTGCTTTCAAATGATAATGGTACAGAACAAGGGGAAGGAAGAGCTTCTGAATTTAATTCCTCCTTTCCCTCTCTCAGTAGTCTCCATTTCTTTATTTATTTTTTCAGTTTCATACAGTTAGATTGAACACATTGGACAGTGCTTTAGATTTGTGGTCAGCATCATGAGGTCAATTCCAGAAATTATATTATCAGATTAAACAGTCTGAGAATGATGAAGATCTAAGAGTAAAGACAGTTTTGTGAATACTGCCTGTGCTATTGTGAATTTATATTTAAAAATATTGAGTCGATACTCACAACTGTTCAAGTCTTCATGCAATGTCACATATGCAAGTCTAAAGAGATTGAGCATTTCTGAGATTATGATAAGAATCCTAGGCAGATCTGTAATAAGGCCATAAACTTTCTTACGAAACACTCAGGAAGATGGTTTGAATTTCATGGATGTTAACAACAAAGCAGCTGAAAGAAGAGCTAATGTTCAGCTATTGTGCACAGCAGTGCAGTAATTCTCCCTGGCTTAGTGACCATCTTTCCAACTTGGACACCTTTGGTGACTACAAGATACCAAAGGTACCATTCCAAAGAATACAGAAAACTGAAGAGAGATCACATCATTCTGTCTGCAACTCATTGTTGCAGCACAGGCAAAACCACAAATACGGTATTTTCATACTCTTCCTAATCAAGTGAGTTTTCCATGTGCAGCATTCTAGTCATTTGCACTTGCTTTTTATCAAATTCTTGGCTCCCCCTTGTGTTAAGAGAATAGAACCATAGTGACTGTTGGACAAATCAAGGTTGATTAGATCAGTTTTTTTTTTCATCTTCTCTCCTACAGAAAAAAAGCATGTTAAATCAGAAATGGAAACACTCTCTGACTGAAGATGCTTAACGGAAAAAGAAGTGGTAAAAAAAATGCTTGAAGGTTGAAGGCAGAGAAGGTTTGCCTCCTTCCTTCTGCATTTTGCTGTCACACTGGCAGTTTTCTTTATTTTCAAAAGCACAAATGAGCACACAAAAATGATGTAAGGTTATGACGTCCCAGTTTACAGTAACTGCTGTTCAAACTCCAAAACGGTCACAAATGCAGAAACTGGGAAATAACTGAAGAATGACTAAGCCCCAATCTTAACTTAATCTTAACTTATGTAGTATGCACGTCATCCAAAAATCTTGTGTTCTTTTCCAAAGCTGCAAGTAATATTCTGCTTCTTTCCTGCTCACCCACATAGTTCTCCCAACTACTACTATAGTACGGGTCAGAAAGACACAAGAGCAGCCTAGAAAATTTTCCCAAATAAACTTATGCTAAATGATGCTTTCTCTGTTAGCAACACCAATCAAACAAGAAGTCCCAGCAGTAACTTTGAGATATAATACCCGCAAAGAAAAGCTTAGATCATTAAGGATTTCACACAAACAGATTGATGTTTATTAAAAAGTTTATTTTAAAAGAAAGTAAAAAAAAAAAGTTTTAATATTTCTTAAAATATGTCTAATTTCTATCTATATCAATATTGGCTTAATTTTACCAATAAGATCTACATCCTTTGGTGAAGATATAATGGACTTAAGTCATACAGATAATTAGTTGATCCATCAGATAGCGTATCTGAAGGATAAACTCATCTCCCTGATGTCCATTTGCTACAACTTTGACCCTAGAATGAGATATGTATGTATTTAAAAAATTGATATTAATCCCACAACAAAGATTTAAACTAGACAAAGAAGTAAGAGGCAACTCAAACAACACTGCAAACCTTCCACTATGGGCAATCTCATTAATTCACCTGAAAATCCATTTGTCAGAGAATTATTCTGGCTAGATAAGGAGAGTTCTAAAAAAAGAGCTGTCTAAAATGCCCACGCAGAACCGAAACATTGGATTATCCAGTAAGAGAGATGGTCAGTGCAGCATAATATCTCATTACTTTCAAGTTTACGTCTGCATTGGCTGTAAGTCTGCATCAAATCTATTGCCAATAACATTAATAGATATCTCAACACCTGTGCAAAGGAATATGGCTTTTCTTCATTACATTTACATACATACCATTAATTTGCAGTGCTGCTTTCCAAGAGTTTTGTCTTCAGCTTCTTGTTTAAGACAGTCTAATTCTGAGAGAACATGTGTTAAATAAGTCTTGATTTCTTCATATCTGGTTTCAGCAAAGCCAAGTTCCCTGTACCATTTCTGAGCCTAATAGTAAGGTTAAAAAGCAAAATTACTGAGTGAGGTTAGATTAGCAGAGATACTGTTTCTCAGCGTTGGCTTACAAACATGGACTTGAACATAATCTCCAAGTTTTAAATGGCTAGAGATATGATGAGATTAAATTTTTAGGCTGATTTCTAAATTTGAAGTTACCTTGAATGCTCTGAATGAAGCTTAAAATAAAACAGTCTGAAAGCCACCAGAGCATAAAGGAGAATAAGTGGAAAAAAAAAAAATCCTCAAAAATGTCAAAATGAAAAATGTAGCGGAGGAAATAAAAACCTGTACATTTATGTTTATATTACTTCTGAGATTCATTTTCCCTACTTACACATTAACTGCCATTTTGAAACAAACGAACACATTCAGTAGATCGACCGCACGATTCTTTCTTCATTATTTCTTCCTTCCGAAATCAAAGGTTTCACATTCTTTTAAGTTAACAAAATAAGTTGTTGTAACACCCAAAGGATTAGAAGGGACTAAATTAATCAGACATTTTAAAATAAGTAAAAATCAAACGATACATTTACACATAAACTCCAAGGGACTGGAGTCTGTCCCTCCATCACTCAATCCCAATCCATCCCTGTACTGCAGTTGCCTCATTTTAATTCAGGGAGGTTTTACGCAGTGGTAGTCAAAGGACTGCCATCTCATACATCCACAGTGTGTAATCATACTACTTCTCTACACACCCAGTATAACATTTGTTATTGTTGATGTTTTTCCACAGACAGTCTGCATGATGCTTGTTACTGGGTGAAACAGCCCCGTAAATTCAAGCATGCCCTAAAGCAATACTGTTAAGATAATCAGACATGGAGATTGTGAAATAAAAATAGGAATATTAAAGCTAAAGTGTTAGGAAAGGCACAACACAGAAAAAGCTTAGCTTTCTCTGCTGCTATTAAAACCACAGATTTGCTGTACAGAGGCACAGAACTAGCTCTCCATTCAAAGAATTTCCATGGAGATGGTTATTATTACATACATGTCAAGAGATGAGGAAGTGCACATACTTTGCACTATCATTTGGTATAGCAAAATCACTTGGCAGAGTCAGATTTTATGCCCCTTCTTCTCTTATTCAAAAATTACTCTGAATTCAGATTCACCATTATCCTCAGGCGAGGATACTTCTTACTCTTCATTCCTAATGAGGGGGAGGGAGGCCAGAGCTGGCTACAGCAGGTATTTTGTTTGGAGTGTCTTTATTAAGACCTCAGTTTCTGTTGAAGCATGCTGAAGGACAGCAGCTTCACCTAAAATTCTGTCAAAAAAAAAAACAAAAAAAAAAAAAACAAAAAAAAAAAACTATGTAATTTATCTCTTAGCTAAAAGATCTTGGTTCTGAAAATCAGAGACTTCCCATTTAGTAAAAACATTAAGCACTGGCAGAAAAAAGCAGCCATGTAAGAAAACAAAGAAGAAAACAAATTTGCTCTTCGGAACTGCATCGAAGATAAGCTTACCTCTTTTTTTGATTTTTCTAATTCTTTTTGCTGTGCTTTTAATTCCTCTTTTGACCTTTCCACTTGCTCTTTCATCGCACTGTAGCTTTCAGATCTCCTGCCCTGGAACAAGTGGAGAAACAGAAAGACATGACTCTTCCCACCTATACACAAGTGTTTACATATATTTTAGTGAAAAATATAGTTTTCTTTTATCTGAATTACAACAAATACTTGCATAAAATCAGAATAGTAGAGATAAATCTTTCCTTGTTGATTATTCTCAACTGAAGCAATAATTCAGCCATTACAAGAACATTGTAATTTCCACAGAATTTCACTGTAAGATTCACAGTTGCAGAAGAAAAATACAGATGAGAAACTGAGTATAATTAAAGATCTTGTCTTTGAGTATACATTTCACAAAAACCAGAACAGATAAAAAAATAAACCCTATCAGAATAAAAGTTAGTAAATGAACATGTTCATATTTCTTCCTTTCTTTCTATCCTGCTTGACAACTTTCATTATTTTTAATATTTACCTCTTTGCTGTAAAAATAGCCGGACGGGTCTCTTCCATCTTCTTCAGTCTGAGTTACACCACATGCTGTTTCAACTTTCCTTGGCCTAGCACCATAATGTTGAGTTTTATTTTCTTCTTTTATTTTTACTATCTTTTCCTTTGTTCCCAAACTTTTTTCTTTCCTCAGATCTTCATAGGAGAAACCCAAAGAATACATCAATTCTTTCAATTTGTTATTTTCTAAAATGAAGTCAGCATTTGCTTTCTGAAACTCACCAAGTTGTTCTGCATTTTCTTTTTTAATTTGGTCTATAGCTCTTTTCAGGACACATTTTTCCTCCTGTAAGTCAGAAATAGTCTGATAACAGCTAGTTTTGCACTCTTGAAGTTCTGAGACCAAGGCCCGGTATTTATCCTGTTCACATTTTATTTCTGCCAAACTTCCCAATAAATTTTCTTTTTCACCTTCTAAAAGAGATATTCTTTTCAAGTTTCCCTCTCTCTCTTGCATTAATTCATTATATTTTGCTATATAGTTTTCTTTGTCTTGTAATAATTTAGCTATTTCTTTGAAGCATTGTCTTCTTTCTTCTTTCAGGTCAGAAAGTAGCTGAAAATATCCAACTTTCTTTCCATCTAGAGGTAAAACACTCTTGGGAAGTTTATTTAATTCAATTGTTAATGAGTCTTTCCCCAAATTCCTACTTTTCTCATCAACATAAGAGAGATTCTTAGAGATGGTTTTAGCAAAAACTGTTCCTGGACTCTTGGTATTTCCTTCTGACACATTATAACATTTACCAACAATTTCATTCTCATTGAGTAAATTTTGAAAAGAAACATTGTTATCATCATCAACTTCTAAAGCGTACTGAAAATATGCACTCATGTCCTCTTCCAGTGCACACATCTTCTGAACACATCTCTCATTCTCCTCTTGTAATACACAGACCTTTTTAAAGTAGTTTTCATTCTCTTGCATCAGTAGAAGTATCCTCTGTGAACACATTGCCATTAATTTTTCCAATTCATATGTTTTCATATTATGCTCATGAACCGCTGCTGGTGGTGACAGGTGGAAGAAATACTCAGAAAAATTGTTCTCTGGCACGAAGTGTTTGCTTAAGCACATGGACCTCTTCTGCATAGGAGACAATATTTTTAGTGGATAACCCTCTTCCTCTGACCAAGAACATTTCTGAGAGTATGCATACTGCATGTCTTCAGCAGCAATTTCCTGATGTGAGAAATTCTTCTCATTTGATTCATGTAGTTTCAGGGACTGGACTTTTTCTTCTTTTGGTCCAATATTTCTTGAAGGGTTTATTTGGTGAGTTGGTTTCTGAGATTTCTTCTCTTCCTCTCCCATTTTTATCGTGTCTCCATCTTTGCACACCCTCATCACATCAGATATGCAGATTTCGGAGAGTCTTCCTTGTTTCTCCACTTGTTCAGGACTCTCTCTGAAATGCAACTGAAAGTCTTTCACATCAACAGATATTTTGTGGACACCTTGTGGAGTCCCTCGTTTGCCTTTGACTTCAATTCCTTGATTCTCAGGCTTTGTCAAACCTCTCTTATTTAAAACATTAGAATTTTCCCCAAAAACAGAGGTTACCTGTTGTACTTGGGATTTCTCAGTCTGTATTTCTTCTCCTTTAATTCTCGATCTAAAGATTTTTTGGTGATATTTTCTGTCACGAACACTTTTATCTGAACTTTTATTCTTACTTACGCTTTTTGATAGAATTAATTCCTTTTGCTGATGTTTTTCCACTCTGTATTTTTGAAGAGAGGATGCAAAATTTTCGGTCACAGAGCATGGAATATTTCTACAAAGAGCTGTAGGAGCTTTATCAGAAAAACCTTCTTCTGTAACAACACACAGACCATCCAAGCAAAGACTGGTATTTGCTCCACTGAAATCCAAACTCCTCACTTTCTTCACTGTTGTGACAGCCTCTACCCTGTAGCTTTCTGGATTTAAAAAGATAATGTTGGGTTTGCTTCTCATCAAATCTTCAACCACAGAAACAGGGAACATTTTTGCTGGTAGAAGTATAGCTTGTTCTTTCACGAAAGAAAAGTATTCTTCATCTTTGTTTCCTTTGCTTGTTTCACCGTTAGTTACTTTTTCAGAGCAAGGTGGAAGCAGGCTTGCGGTAGAATAGCTTGGGGTACATCTAAACAAAGTGAAACCGTTTTCTGAAGCACCTGTAGTTTTTGTTCCTAGGGTGACCTGATAATTGCAAAGGAGATATGTTTCAAACTGAAAAATATAAACCAATGGAAATAATATTTGATTATGGACAAATGAGAAAAATATTGCCACATTAATTTTTCAAATAATTTAAGGATTTGAAATAGAATAAAGATAAAATAAGAAGGTACAAATAGTCAATCATTTTCTTAGAGCACATTATTCACCTTGAATAACAACTTAACCAGATAGGATTTCAAATGTTTTTATGTTTGTCTTTAATTACACTAACTCTTCTTACCTCAAAATTCACAGATTCACTGTGCCCGCAAAGATGAGAATAGCAGGAACTTCTAACCAGTTTGATCTGAGCTAAACTGAGTTCTTCAGCAGCATCTGCAAGGATGTTGGAATTGTGCTCTGAAACAGGCAGCAGTTCCTCTCGTAGCCTTTCTGTCTGTTTAGGCCCATCACAGCTGTATCCTGGTGTTTCTGTTATGATAAAGCACAAGGTAAGTGTAATGGTATTCACAGGCAGTTACATGAAAAACAAACCCCCCATATTTCTGACCAGATGATTTGAATGGAAAGCATTTTGGTAAGAATATGCCCCAAACTACCTTCTCTAGCAGAAGGGCATACCATGAGTGATACAGAGACAAGGATGACATTACGCAAGAAAACATATTTCATAAGAGAAGTATTAAGCTCTAAATTAAGGTATATTTAGAGATTGCTCCCCCACCTTAAAGCCTTTAAAAATGAAATAAACATTACACTGAGTAGAGGAAAACTTATGTGTTAAACATAAAGGTTAAACCTAAGGGTTAAAATATTTGGTGTAGGTCTGTACTTGCATAAACTGAAATTCATCATAAAGCCCACATTAATTTTAGTCAGAAAATTAACTAGATACAATTTGTCAAGATCAGAGCTTTTATGTAATGTTTAGTCTAAAAAATAAATCTGACAGCTGCACAGTGTTCCCAAACACTACATTTCAGTCTAAACTTGAAAAGTATTGCCTAACTTCTCAGCCTCTTGTGAGCTGCAGGATTTATTGAGAAAGCTCACATCTAAATCCTCACATCATACAAGTGAATAATTATTCTTCCACATTCTTAAGATACTATTTCCAGATGAGAAGGCTTTTGGAGCTATTTTACCTTCTAAGTCAAGCACACCACAAGAAAGAAGTAATCTTCACTTTTGCTGCACAGAAATGAAATAAAAAAGTGCAGCTCATTTTCATACCATACTCCATGGCATGCAGCAGCACAAATGAAGTTTGAGCAGCTCTGCTTCTCTGTTGATCTGAGATTGCTCCCCTTTTCTGGTTTTGAACATCTTGCTGGTGTAGGTCTCTGTTCTTAATGAGAAAAGGGGGAAGAAATAAAAACCAGATTATAAGTACACCATTCCTGATATGAAGGCACACAAGCACACAACTTTTCTTTGCTATTTTCTATTAACATTCAATAGACCAATTATTTCATCATAATTGCTACTATTCTATATACTTTTCTCATTCCAACATTTTCTAGTAAATATCATGCTTGTTAGATTTTACCCTCACATGTCCTTGAGACTCTACAGCTACTTGAGGAAGAATATCTCAGTAGTAAGTATGCACAATATGTTGGAGCACAGAACACTAGCAAGGCAGAATCTAATCGATACATTGTCCATTAACAAAGGGAAAGAGACTAACAGTTCTATGCCCAGCACTGTGCAGGCTATGAAGATAAATGTTTCTATATTGGAATAGCTCTTTAGAAAAGGTAGAATAGTTGTTAGGAAAAAAACTTGTCTTCAGTCAGTAATTTAATTATAAAATTCAGATTCTCTTCTCAAAATCTATCTTCAGTATCAGATTGAATTTGGGTGCTAGGACAATTTCTGGTGCAAAGCAGATACCCTTAATGTCTGATACACTGCAGATCATGTTTCACATGTGCCATGCTTATTCTTAGTGAATAATCCGATTTGATTTCCTTGACAAAAAACATAATTGAGGCTGTAGCCAAAGCAGCAACAGAACAGAAACCAAGACAGCACAGTCATTTTTGTCTTCCCACAGTGCTTTGCATCAAATGCCAGCTGAAAAAAAAACCTCAGCAGATCAGGACTGAGCTGCAGCTTTATAGTTACACGCAGATGGAAAAAGCAGCAACTTCAAAATGAGTCTGCAAATGCCACTTGGTTTTCCTCTCAATAATCAATGAGCATAATTTTGATTTCAACCCAAGCCATATCCTGCGTTATTGTGCCCTCTTATATCTTGTCTGGGTGGCATGATTTGTGTGGAAACCACAATAATTCCAGATTTCTTCCATCTTTTTCTCAGTGATAATGAAGCTTATGTTAATTCCTTGGAAAACACTCATTCTTTTCATGCAAGTTTGCCTCTATTTCTTCCCAGATATATTTTCTTTAGCAATATGGGGGTTCTAGCAGAAGACTGTTATTTAAAATAATGGAAAAGACACAATGCTTGGATGCCTGGAACACCACAAAAATCAAACCTCCAACTCTCATCTGAGAGCTGTAGAGAAGTGCATGGCTCGGTGTTTCTTAACATTCCTTCACTAAGATCTGGAATAGACCTCTAATGTGAATATCCAGAAATTTTCTGATAAATAAAGACATTGGTACATGGTACTAGCTACTGTTTTGGGCATTTTTCATTCAGGCATAAGCTGCAGTTGGAACACTGCAGACAAGATTCTGGAAATTTAATATTCTTATGAGATTTATGTGACTGTACTCCTCCATGAGATTCAGTTCACACCCATGGTACCAGAGCAAAACACCTAATTGAATTAAATATTAGTGCATTAATATACAATAATGATCAGGGAATAATTTTCAAGTATTGTTGATAAGCTTGTCATCTGATACAATATTTACTGAGGAATCACAGATCTTTTGTATTTCATATGGGTTCTGATAAGCCTGTCTTCACAAAATACATTTTTCCTGGCTGCAGAATGGGCATATGATTCTACTCACTCTTTCAGTGAAAAATGATGTATCAGAAACGTTCCAGAAAAAAAAACAGCATGAATCTTTCTCTTGTTATGCATATAACTCTTAATTTTTAAAGCTGGTGATGGAGTATGATGAGCTTAAATAGGATTTCTTTTTATGTAACTATTTTGGCTTGAATACTGCAAGACCAGTGTAATGAGATTAGGAAATTTTATTAACAGCAACTAAAATGAATCTGAGTCTAAGGCAAAAAAAATATACCTCTTCAGTTTTACTATACAACACCAGAGGTCTCCCTCATCCCTTTAGAACAGAAATTGCATTTTTTTTCCAGACTATTTGAGAGCAAAATTTTCTACTGGAAAAATCCAGGTGAATCTGTAATAGTACTGAAAGCAAAGGAAAATGCAGTGCACAAGGCTTGATGCTGTGTAACACAACAAGGAACAAGGGTTTTTGTGCATCAGAACAAAATACACTGGCTTAATATATACTTTGGCATGTTTGTGTATACCATAGACTACCTAAATTCCTAAGACAACACAGCCATACATTAATAGTTGGAAAAGAAATGGTTAGAAAGCTTGGTGAAGGAAAAAAACCTTTTCACCATAGTACAGAATAGAATGATGGAGACATGGCCATGTTTCTCAAAGACATTCTGCATTAGTCTTGGGCAATTGGTCATCTTGCCCTCACACCTCCAATTCAATATTTACTTTTTCCCTTTCTCAGATTTTTGGAAGTAATTTTTCACTACTTATTTTCTGGCTCTGAAAGCCACCATCCCCCCCTGGTTTTAGCTGGGCAGTTCCCTCACAGTGCACTTGGTTGTGGTACCTGTGTACAACTCAGTGCAACTCCTTCTAAATACATCTTAAGATAGGGACATTTTCAAACCTTCATTCTTAAGTAAACTCGCTAGGGTAAAGCACCTGTAGCAATGGTTCAGACTTATAAAAATAAGTACAGTTGCAAGTCCTTCTGCCAACCCAGGAGAAAAGGAGCTAAAGAGAAAAATGGCAACATATCTTCTAAGCTATCCTCAGAGTTCATGCTGCCAGTTCCAGAAGGATCTTAACATTCTTCCTCTCACTTAATTGTGACTAAAGAGTTAGAAATGGAACCAAATCACTGTGTCTGTAAAGATGCATTCAAATACTAGGTTAAAAACTTCATCTTGATTTCTTTTTAAACTTTTAAGCAGACAGTCCTCTCTACCGTCTCCCAGTCCTGAAAGTACTCACAGTATGTTTGTTCTCCTACACTAAAGAGGTTTTGTTTGTGTTTGTTACCTCTCAGATAACTGCACATAATATCAGGAGAGTTTTAAAAATATCAGGTCACAATCTGAATGGGTAGCTGAGCATGAGGCTGAACTGATTTCACTTTATTTTACAAGTCCTCAGAATACCAAAAATACCAAATATAAAATATCAAAAATACCACCTATCCCAGTGCATAAATAATAAAACCTTGTTTGTGTCTTCTCCATGAAACTATTCGTTGTCAGCAAAATGAATTGGCAGAAGCTGAATGTCATATTGCAGCATATGTGGAGCTTTCCCAGGCATTGCTGGAGTGAACTGCTTGAAGCAAAGAAATCCTATTCAATGTATTCAGAGCACATCACAATGCTGGGGAGCTGCAAAGCATTGAATATCTCAACTCACAGACTTGAATATAGTATCTATCTCCTCTTGTGCTCCATTATCCAGAAAATCTCATGAGCAAGATATTTTTCTCAGCTGTGCTTTTTTCCTTCAGCAGTCAGGCATGAATAAGATGTGAATACTCACCCAACCATGCATGCACTCTTCATCTGGATGGTGTCCATGAGACAGATGCCTCAGAAGTTCTTCTGGGTTCCACTTTTGATGCCAACAAAGACCTTTTGCCTTGGGCACATCACTTGAAAACTTAAGGAAACAAGGTTTGTGAAGTGCCTTCAATATACACCTAATAAAAGCAGTGATGCATTGAAACTCCAGCTGCTGGTTCCAATTGGTGTGAATTAGACACTGAAATTTCAATACATCAACAGAAATAAAGGAATCAAATACAGGAAGGAAAAAGCCTCAGGGTTACATCTCCTCTGCATACCTAATGAAAAGTATAAAAGGTATCTGGGGTGATATAAAGATGAAACTTTATTGTATTTTGCTTTACTTTTACTTACCAGGTCAGCATTGTTGTCTGCATTTTCTGGTCTTGTAAGCTGTGAGTCCTTTTCTTCTTTCGTTTTTAACCTTACCCTAGCTTGATATTTTAAAGACTTGTTTTCATTCAAAAGCTTGTTCACTTGTTCCTGTAGTTTGATTTCAGATAGTTTCAGATTATAGACATGATGACAAGATTCTTCCAATTTTCTCCTGAGAAAGTCTTCAGCGTCTTGGGAGCACTGAAGCTGAGCCAGCAGGTCTGCTCTTTCTCTTCTGTTGTCCTCCTCTTTATCCCTTAAGAACTTCACATTTTTCTGAAATGACTCAAAGTGGCTTTTCATGTCATGCTCCACATTTCCGATGGAGTTTTTCAATTCTGTGAGTTGCATATTAGCAGGTTTACAGTTCTGCGGGCCTTCGGATGCTGATTCCAGCTTCTTCTGGAGACTCTGTGCCATTCCCTCTCCTAACTCAGACGTCAAAAGAGCAATATGGGCACTGAGATCTAGCACTTGCTTTTCCAGTCTAAACACCTCACCCTGTAGGTAACATTCCCTTTTTCTCAGCACTGCTGTCTGTTGCTTCTGCCTTTGTTTGTAGTGCTCAAAGTACTCAGATTGGCTTTTTAGTTCACTTTCTTTTGTCTTCAGCTGCTCCAGAAGCCAATGTAATTTCTCCTTTTGTTTCTTCTCTGACTTCTCTTGGTTTTCAACCTAAAATTTTAGTGATTTGTACAGTTAACAACTTCATATCAAATCTAATCTTCTCTTATCTTTTTTTCTTAATTTTGCAATATTTTTACCCCTTTTCTCCCCTGAAAACTCAGGGGAAATATAGGAAATAGGAAAAAAACATAAGAAAAACACCTCAAATCAAAAACTACCCACTTTTTTTTTTTTTTGCATGTTCTAAAAGAACTATTAAATCAAAAGCAACTTTGAACTGAAATGCATACAACCAGCTCTGAACAACACAGTAACATATCCCATACACTGATATTGGTATGACACTGAGATGTTACAGACAGAGAAGTCATGGTTCTATTGAATAAAAGAGAACACACACTTTTATAAGAAACAAAGTTTTTGCCCTTTGCCCTTCTCCATACCTGTCATCTGTCAGATCCTTTTATGAGCCCATGGTAAAAGAAGAAAGGAACAGATGCCTTTTGAATCAGTTTCAGAAAGACTTTAGTATTTTGGTTTGCATCAAACTGTGCTTGAACACAGAGACACAGAAAGGTGAAAGAGGTCAATGGAAGGCAGAGAATGCTTTCATGATTCACATGCTGCCCTTGTTTAGAGCCACCAGTATCACACTGTCATTATGACAACATTTAAGTAAGACTGAGGCATTGAGACGTTGCTGTATTCCCTGCAGCTGAGCAGCTGAATTTTGTACAGAAAACAGGCTGTCATGGTTGCATTGTGCTGCAGTGTAATGGATGGTGGGGAGTAAAAATGATTTAATGTGGGGCCAGGAGAATAAAGCCTAATTTATGGAAAAAGAATGTGTTGACTTGGGAGCAGGTATCCCAAAGTTCAATGGCTCAAATGGCAGCAGTAACAGTTGTTTGTTTGTTTGTTTTTGACAGTGCTGTCAAAACAATTAGAGAAATAGAAAGTGAGGCACAGAGAGAAAATAATTCTTCTGATTGCCCTGATTTTACAAAAAAAAAAAAAAAAAAAAAAAAAAAAAAAAAAAGAAAGCCTGAAATGATGTATTGTGTGAAAACAGGTCACTGGAGAGAAGACTGACTTATAAACTACTGCCTTAAAGAGAACTTGAACTAGGTCATTTGAAACAATATCCTCCTTACCAAGCTCAGCAGCTCTTCCCAAACTTCTCGCAGTTTCCCTTTAACACGCACATTTGCATTTTCAAAATGGTGCACTTTCATGTTTAGTTGATCAATCATTACAAGAAGTGTTTTGTGTGACAGCTCCAGCTCTTTCATCCTGTTATATTGAGAATGAAGATCTTTGCTGAGTAAGTGGTGTAGTCTAGATGGATAAGCTGTCATCATCAATATATTGATGATGGGGCAGAATGGCGAGGCCGGACTCTTTTCATTGGTGAGTGGAGACAGGACAAGGGGAAACGGCTGGAAACTGCAGCATAGGAAGTTCCACACAAATGTGCACAAGAACTTCTTTACAGTGAGGTGACGGAGCACTGGAACAGGCTGCCCAGGGAGGTGGTGGAGTCTCCTTCTCTGGAGATGTTCAAGACCTGCCTGGATGCCTACCTGTGCAACCTGGTGTAGGGAACCTGCTTTGGCAGGGGGGTTGGACTCGATCTCTGGAGGTCCCTTCCAACCCCTACAATTCTGGGATTCTGTGATTCTGTGATATCAATTTATTTTTATTTTCCCATTTTTCTCTCCGCAATAAAATAGCTTTTTTGATTGCTACAAATAAACATCATCAAAAAGAGTCTACTGGGGTTTGCAAGTTTCTCTGGAGACTGTCAAAGATGTTAAAGACAATGTTGGTGTTCATTCTCTCTCGGCACATTTAGCATGAAAAACCATAAATAATCACATTAATGGAGATAATGTTGACTGAAGTTTTCTGTGTTATGCAAAGTAAACACCATAAAGATAACCACAGCTCTGGTCTCTACACCTATCCAGTCACTAGGTTTTGCAAGATTCATGGCTAGGAAATTTGGATTTTGTTATCCATTTAACTCTCTAGCTTTGTTAAGAATAGTGCAATTGCAAGGCACCACTTGATCTTATTCTAGTCAACTACATAATTAATGCTTATTTAGCTACAGCAATGATTAGCATTAACATACTAAGCTACACGCATGTCAGAAACTGTAATTTTTTTATATAGCACAAAACTTTAAATTTAAATATAAGTGTATCTTTCTGCTCCAAAATTAACTTTTAAAACTTCTTAAAAGTGATATAATCTGCAAGCAGAATTTACACCTTATGAATATTTAAGGATGAAGTATCCTGAGAAAGCTGTCTGGTTACTGTCTACATCAAGATATAAAATTGATTAAAATAATAGAAGCAAAAATTTGAATAGTGTATTTCTATTCTGAAAGCTACACAAAACATTCATAAACTCATTTTATTAGCCATTCTGAAGATTCTTAGAGCTTATTTGCTAATTTTGTACATATTTCTTGATGTCCTCTACATGCAAAAAAAAAAAAATAAAATTATTTACCTATTTCTTAGCACAGAATCTGACTCCATGTAGTCCTCTAAAGTGTGTTTCAGTTTTTGCTCCAATTTCTCCAGCTCTTTTATTCTGAGGTTCAAATTCTCTTGTCCAGCACTTCTTTCTTGCTCATCAGGTATGCCTGCATCTTCTAAATCCTGGGAAATCCAAGAAGCATCGATGTTAACATTAAAATTCAGAACATCAAATCCTTCATCACTGAGCATTTTAATACAGTAACAAAATTCTTGTTCTCTAGCAGTTGAAGGGTCTGTGATGAAAATAATCATTTAAGTTCTCATGTACTGCAGTCTGAGTATGCAATAAGAGGCTAAGCATCCCTAAAGATCAAATTAACAGTCCTCAGTTCTGAAAACATATATTATTTATAAGAGAGTCTTATTTCACTAACCTCAAAGTAATTCAGCATGTACGAAAGGAGTTGCAGATCTTTATAAAAAGTACAACTACATTAATTCAGGAAGGTATTAGGTATCAAAATTTTGAAATGGGGATTGTTTTCTACTAAATAGAGCAGCTGATAACATGGAGCACTTATATAACAAAGGATATTTTTTTTGGAAAAATCTTTGATATTTTTATTATTTTAAGACAAAAGATTAATGCCTAAAAAGGAACCTTCAAACTCAAGCTTTCAAAGTCTGTTTATTTCCATTGCCTCCTTCAGCAACAGCTCTAAAAGTTCCTCAGTCCACAGTTCAGCTTCATTTACACGATCTGTTCTCAGTAAAGAACAATCCTAAAACTGATACCTGGGAAATGCCACAGCTTTCATTCTGTGAACCAATTTTTACTGATTTGAAATTGGACCTGTAATAGTAAGGATATACTGGCATTTGAACTTCTCAACGAAATAATGCAATTAATTTTTTGTGTATGTTTTATTGCTTGCTTTCGTATTTTGTTTTTTTTTTTTTTCTTTCAAATGCTGCACTGAGGAAAAAAAAAAAAAAAAAAAGTACCATTTACTTTTGGCACTGAAGAAAAGAAAATAGCACCAAATTGGTGCAAAAAGAATAAATAGCTTTATTATTGTCCACATTTTCATGTGAGTTATCCACATATGTGGTGAATTACAGAAAATGGTGTTATTTTGGTATTGTATTACTCTCTGGCTTTATGTCAGCTACGTAAAGACTTAGACCTGAAAAGGTTCTGCCACTCCCCAGTCCTTTGAGAAACTATGATACCTAAAAGCTAGAAGCACAGAAAGGAAAATAAAGTGTAAACACACAGACAACAAAGTTGCTCAAATCCCTTTGTCATCTCCTCTAGACTTACCAGCCCAAGTCTCTCCTCAGAGACCATGGGACCTGTAAATACAAACACCTTTTTTCCCTGGCACGTGGAACAGTATCTTTGCTTTGAGCTCCTAGAACCACTATCAAATTCTGTGTAAAAATTATTTGTGAAATGAACAAATATCTTGCTCTCCTACAATGGGCAACCCCACGTACTACTACAAAAGAAATTTAAAGTAATTAAGGACACAATTGCTCTGCATGTTAACATGTTAACATCAGAAGCTAAATTAATACGATTTTCAGCTCTGCCCCAGCCTACTATCCAACTCATGAGCTGTAGAAGGAAGGTTTCTCAGACATACACTTTGCAGAAAGTAGCTACCGGATAAAAAAAGAAAGATAGATGAGGTGGGAATTAAACTCACACTTAATGTAGATATACAGATTTCTACTCACGTTGTATTTTGTTACTCTTAAGTGGACTTTTATTCACTAGAATAAATATAATGAAAGTTAATACAATAATTTCTACAGTTGATTTTTATCTTCATGATCCAGGAGGCCTCTATATTTCTTATGCTTTGTTCTGAAAAGTACTTAGTACTGCAGCATAAAACCAGAAATTTGTTACTACTGATCTCAGAAATCAGAAACTCTTTGTTTTCCCCTTTGCTCTTGCATATATCTGGGAGAGATGACTTAAAATCTGTCACAGAAAGTAAAAATCAGATGTAGCATCTTTCATGGCCTGAGTACCTTAAGCCTCTTCTCATTTCTACATTTGATAACAATGTGCAATGCATAGTAAGACTGAAATGATACACCCAGTTATTCAGAAGTACAAACCTGTTACTTCAAGATAGGATAAAAGCATCGTAATGTCATGCGGAAAATCTCACTCAAATCAGACAGGTATTTTTGTTTTAGGAACTTGTCACACAAATTACGATTCAATAAAACACATAAGAGATAATAAAACTGATCATACCTTTTCTGCTTTGTAACAAGACCATCTCCTGTCCTTGCAGAGCACTTAATGTTGCATTCACGTGTTGAGTGATCATTTGTCTATGCTTCCAGTTTAATTTCCAAATAAGAGAGGAGCAAAGCTATGTCTGGTAGAAGAGCACTTCTTCCCCAAGTCAATCCAATCTCTTCCCAATTTCTGTCACGTCACCAGTTTCTGTTTTGGTTATCCAAAGCTCTGATTACAACTTTTATGGTCTCTCTTCAGAATAAAGACAAAACTTTTCTTTTTGCAGTAAAGAGCTAATTTTTCCATATTCAGTTATTATAGTGCAAAAAAGTTTTAACTAAAACATGAAAAGTCTCTATTTGAAAACACATTCTGTGAATGCTTGTTCCTTTTTGAACCAAACATTGTGAGCAACAAAATCTTTCTCTAAAAAAACCTCTAAAGTTTCTAACTTTTGTTGTGCTTTGTGCCAGGAAACAGGATTTGTCAGACACTCAAATGATCCCCAGTTCACGACATCTGACTGAAATAATGTTGTTGAGTGCTCCAGATACTTCAGCAGATAAATCATCTTGGCTGCTGATTTTTCATCTCTGATGAAAATAATCATACTTCAGAGCCTAAAAGATTTGAGAGAGCTGGCTTCTTCTGAAGCTGCTTCTTGCTCCTCCAAAAGGGAGAAATTCAGTTGCTAAGATAAATCTGTTCTTCAGCTTTATTTGTGTTGCCTTGATGGTTCCTTGCCTTATTTTTTTTTTAATTATAACTTTCACTTTATCCAATATATTACCATAACCACCTTATTCCGCCCTACTTTTGTGTTTGAGTTCAGCATGTTCATGGAAGCAGACCTGCCCCTCTGTCATTTTCTACACAGTCCCTTTTAAAATAAAGATTTTCCATACAATTCTGAGGAGAAAGTTGTCTTTAAATGTTGTGCTTTTAATAATATTGTCAACTTGCCTCTACATTCCAGAATAATCAAAATTACCTATTTCTTCACAGTGTCCTTCCAGCCCTGAAAGAGCAAATTGGGTTTTTCTTTCAAGAAAAGAAAAACAACCTTCTTGAATTTTTCTTACGGTTCTCCATCTTAAACAACTGTTTTCAACTTTCATTTTTTTCAATCTGTGCTTCACAAGAAGTTTTTCTTGCAGTTCAGGTGGCTAATGTCCTTGACTGTATATATCCAGCTCTGCTGTCTGCAATTGTGCCATTTTTTCTTCCTGGTCTCTAATGTCAACTTTCTTTTGTGAGGATAAAATTTTCCCAGATATTTCTTTGCAAATGCTTATCTGTTTAGCACATTCATCTATACACCCATATCTTCAAGTCTTTCTTTCTTCCTAAGAGATAACTGAGGACAGCACACTGTACATTCTGTTTTCCTGACCTCTCAGTCCGTCTCATGATCTTCCATTCTCCCAGGGCTATCTTCACAAATTATTTCTTAATTTTCTAGGAACGTTCAAAAATTCACTTCTGCCTTGCAGCTCTTACCCACTTCCAAGATCTTCTAGTCCAGTCTAATACCCTGCCTTATCTCCAAACTCTACATCTTCTCCACTTGTGAATTTCCAACTTATGAACTTAATATGAATTTTGTCACTGCGGGGCTTTAAATCTCTCTTTGTTTTCAACACAGAACAGTTTTTGTTTTTTTCTCTCTCTCTCTCTTTTTTTTTTTTTTTTTTTTTGCTTTTTTTTTTTTTTTTTAACCTGTCAGATATTTACTACAGAGAATTTATTGTCAAACACTTATCTTTTTAATATGGATACTAAAAAGGAGATTTTGTGTTACCTGCGTGAAATGCAAACGACATTTGTTGAAAGCATGCAGTATGGAGACAAAGATCTCAGTACTGTAAGAAAACTATTTGGTAGAGAACAGTTCACATAGCATCCAGTAATTGCACTTGGTTTTTTTTCCAGTGTTTGATTGGTGTGTGAGTGTAAATTCTCTTTATACTTTTTTCAGTGTGTATGATGTGCTGGTCCCTATTTGATTATCAAATCATTCCAGCCTGAAGCTATAGATTTAAAAAAACTCTAATTGTAAGTTCAAATATTTTGCAGCTTCAAGTATTATGCAAACACTTTTATGAAAAAATGCACCAATTTAAAGCTGCTCAATAAATGTTTTCTTTTTTTTTGCATGTGGACTCAGCTGTTCACTCCATAGGTTCTTTTAATAACCTGGGTAATAAAAGAAAAAAAAAAGAGAAGAAAAAATGTATTCTTAGCTTCAGACAGACAAAATTAATTTTGTAATAAATGTTGGCATTCACGCCCATCAAAAAGTCTTCCTAAAAGTTTAATGTTAGCTTCAAAATAACAAGAACAAAACAGCCATTAGCAAACAAACCAGATTGACTAGCAATATGGAAGAATGTTTAAGAGTCTCACCAACAAGAAACCATTGTTAGGTTTCTTAAAATGGTCTTTGCTGTGTTACGTTATTCAGGGATAGATTCACTGCTGGCAAAACAAATTAAAGGAAATTGTCTTCCACGCTAGAGTTTTGATATGCCATGAACCCCTGGAAATCTGGAGTGGCTTTATGACTGCACAGCCATGGTAAACGGGACATAATTCAGAACAGATTTCAAAGAAGGAAAAGATTTGAAAAACTGCAAAAGTGGCATAATTTTCAGTTAAAAAAAAAATAAATCAGTGGTTTTAAACCACATCTTAATCCTCTGTCACTGAGGCTGTGAAAAGGAGCAGGAAACTTACATTGCTCCATGGAAGTAGGACTGATTTTATTCTAATCTCTCTTTCTTGTTCTGTGTGAAAGGTAAGCCACTGTAGCTATAGTGCTGCTACAGCTAAAGAAATTCTCTCTGTCCTTTGCACTGTGAATGGGGCAGTGGGAATTACAGTTATGTCTAAAGAAAGACAGATTTCTTAGTCTCATCCTTACTGCGTTCACAAGCACAAAGAAGGTCAGTCATACTTCTTCCCATCATCTCATAATAGAAAATTGAGTTATTTATTTTTTAATTTACTTTGTGGCTTCAAGGATTTTAAGAAAGTAAAATGAAACTTTTTGTATAGTTACAGGACTTTTAGAAAATACAACTGAAAACCAAACACAGGACGGGAGAAAGAATCTTTCAGTAACAGTTGAACTTCAAGATTAAAATGTACCTGCTCTACAGAATTGAGAAGTACCCACTGCAGTTCAGACACTCAGTATCTTAGAATGCAAAACCAATTCTTGTTGAAAAAAGAATGATTTTCTGCAGAAGGCTAGATAGATAGATAGATAGAAGGCATCAATTTGGATCTTACAAGGGACTCTTCCTGTATGTGCAAGCAAAACCAGTAAACGCTTTCCCAGGGTTTCAAAGCCTTACAAAGATGATTCTAAAAACATACCAAAATCCAAGAGCTAAAAATTGAGTACAAAACAATATAAAGAATACCAACCACATGTCTTGACTCAGTTGTGTCATCAAGGCCACAGAATGAATGCTAGTGAAAAAAACAAAAAAAGGAACAAAAACTATAAAATAAGATCAAAAGAAAATGAGGAAAAAAGAAAAAGAAGAAGATGTAAGATATGTAATATGAAATCCAGTGACATAATTTAACAGCAGTTAATTTACATTAATACTAATTTATTGGGCCTGAAAGATCAGTATACAAATTTGACTCTGAAAAGAGGAAAGAAGGTGCAAAATTCATTATCTTAGGATAGCTTTTGCAAACAGTAACATCTGTAGTTCATGTACAATTCAGAAAAATCAGGCTTAGCTCTGTGACTTAGTCAAGTACGTACTCATAATAACATGCCTGAAAGATTTCCTGCAAGAAAACTTACCCAGACACGGGTAAAAGCTATATGCAACTTAAAGGCCAGAGAGTCAGTTATGAGAAAAGCTCAATGTGTTTAAACAGCACTTGCTCCTCATGCACTGGCAGGTAGAATGAAACTGAGACTTTGCATTATTGTTCTGATAGCCTCTGGAAACAGGACAGTTTGCTGAAGAATCTACAGGGTAAAAATACTGCCATTCTTATCTTCTCATTTGAAAGCATTTTACATAATACTTAAAAATTGAATAAATTCCTGAGGGAAAATAAAAATCCATACTAATGAAGAAGTAACTATAAGCAACGTGCTGCCCATAGCTCCAGCCAGTAAGTGGGCTCCATTATCAAAACTGCCCTTCCTTCAAAAGAAAGAATTTACCTCCACAGGAAGTCATCGCGCTCAGTGTCAGTGTCATGTAAATGTCATTCTCCATTCACTTACATTTTAAGCATTAAAAAGAGCAATGAGGTAGAAGTGTATCATTCATTGATTTCCTGACAATACAAATTTCTTTCAGGCATTCAAATTCTGAATGAGACTTCATTTCAAGAAAAAACTGTAAACGTAATATATATAGAAGGAAACCCTGCACTTATCTAGGAGTAGAAGATGAAACCTTGAGAGGTCTCCTGTCAATGTGACAGTAAGAGAGAAAACATTAACAATTTTAACTCATTCCCAGCTTTCTGTTCAGATCGTGATTATAGTATTTCTTTTCCAGTACTTTTCCCCAAACATTGCACATAAGAGCCAGCACAGATTATGCTAACTGCTATTTTCCAGTTTACCACAAGCTGTCTCACCTAGTATCTATGCTACAAACTATGCTTACATTTTGGTAGTAGTAACATTAAGAGATTTTATTTATTTTTTCACAGTTGTGAGATTTGCTAAGCATTACCCATGGAACAGGACGAACATAGCCTCTTCTGTCAAATAAACAAATCATAATGCTGTTATTTGACTTAAACTACAGGAAAAAAATCCTCCTTGTTTTAGTCTAATGACTTCCCTACTTGACAGAAAAACCCAAACAGCAGATGATCATGAGTTTATGAGGGACAGAGCTTTGTTTATTGCAATAAGGACTTGAACTAAAATTTGATCCTTCTTGTATTAAAATAGATCTCTCAAGAGTAGGTTAAATCCTATTACCATCAGTGTAACTGGGAAAAATCAGTACGAGAAGGAAAATCATTGTTATTGACCAGGTTTACCTTTTCCTCAATTTCTTTGAGTTGCCTTTTTTGAAGTTCTATTTTATCTTCTAGTTCTCGAATCCTCTGGAACAAAAAAAAAAGTTAAATAGATCTTATAGTATCTACTTTGGAAAGCATATGAATCAAAAATATGTTAAATAGCTTAAACACAGAATAAATACCCTTTATTAATGTAGCACTTCCTGCTCAGTTATACTAGCCGTGCAGATGGTAGGATTGTTCCACATTTCCATAAAACACCATTTTAAACAAGCTTCATATCATCTTGTTTACTACCAGGTTGTCTAAACTCACCACTCATAAATCATACTTTTAAGATACATATAGAGATAAGGCCAGTTAGCACCAAAATTCCAAGAAGTACAACAAGACTGCTTTCTCTGTAACTGCCAGAAGGTTTTTTTTTTTTACTTACCTACAGAGTCAGCTTATGACAGTTATATTTTAACACTCCACTTTCCTTTCCTGTAAAACATGACTATGCTTCTGAGATATTTCTGCTATACCAGAAAAAATAAGCATGCTTAGACTTTCAATTCACCACCAAGATGCCATTCTGACATTCAGACCCTTTATTATGATGACCCTCTCCCACCAGCATCAGAGAGAATATCTCCACTACAGCTCTCTCTAACTTCAAGAACCTTACTTGTTCAAAGCATCTCCAAAAATATGGTTGTTGTTGGGTCCACACATCTGACCTTATTTCTGCTCCCCTTTCCTTTCTGTAAGTTCCCTCTATTTTTTCTTTTTTTTAATAATAAGTTTACTGGGCTTTTAGATTAAGAGGATGCATTTTATTAGTACGTTTAGTATATAGTAGACTTTATAAAGTTCGTGAACTCTTTTTACAGGTAGAAATCTGGGATCTCCTACTAACAGCTTCTGGGAATGAAGGAGCAACTTTTCAAATTATCAGCTCTTTGGAATTAACTGCCTGACCTCTCCCTGGCCTATAAAAATTAAGGTTATTAGCAGTTCCTGAACTTTGAAAGGAAAATTATCTTCCGGTCTAATTTCTGTGCACACGCTAATAAATTGAACGTAGGAGCTGCTGTACCACTCCCAAATTATTTTATTATTATTTTATTATTTTATCCATCTGAACAGTATATCTTTCAGAAGAGCAACTAGTCAATACTTATACACCAGTGAGATCAAATGAAGGTTTGACTCATTCATCTGCTTTCAACTCAAGGACTTCCAATGGTGGGAAATGCCTGACCCTCACAGCAGCCCACAACATTCCTAGCAGCAGCAACTGATCCCAGTACTATTCAGTATTGCTTTAGGAACCACAACGCCTAGGGTTTAACCTTTTGAATCTAACCTGGAGATATCCCAAAAGATGAGGTACATCCACCCCACAGCTCAGCATGCCCACAGCTGTTGCCATAAAAATATTGCAGGCAGATTGCAAACAATAATCTTGATATTACTGCTGCTTTTTTAAAGAAAAGACTTTGTTTCAATGATTGTTTTGAACACTGTGCAGTTGGATTAAGTTAATCAAAACCCTCCCACCATAACGTGCCACATCACTCAGAGATTTCCCCAGATAATATAAATGCACAAACCAGGTTGCCCTCACATAACATAAGTGCATGAAGCCTTGCTGACAATAACAAATGCCTGGTGCACAGCTGTATTAATTTCACTTTTCCTCTATTACCTTTGAATTGATTTATAGTTCATCTGCTCTCGGCTCACAGCATTTCTGTCTCTCAAGCAATCGCTTTCATATACTGTATGTAGCAGGAATATTACAAACCTGTGAGAAGCCACAGGATATGAACCATGTAGATGTAATCATCTCTGAGTTCTCTGCTCTATCAGCTCACACTCATATTTCTCTCCCACTAATTTCAGTTCTGCTGATTCCTATTTACAACTGCATCCCAGACCTGTGTGATAGAATTCAACTCTGGGGGTGATGCCATGCTCTGTGATAAAATCAGACTGCAGGGAGTTGAGTGGAAAGAAGCAATAACTTTAAATGCTGTTTTCACCTTCAGGATTCATTGTGCAAGATGTTTTTTCAATGTGTGTGGAGAACTATCCTTCCGAAAAAGTAAGAACACTAAACAGCCCTGAACACCTGGGGTTTTTCTCACCTCAGGGTTTGGAGCAAGTTCTCTTTTATATAAGAACATTTTAATTAGACAGCATTTTTCAGATTTCTGTTAATTAAGTAAAAATTGAGATGTTATTATTCCCTCATGAATTTTTAATCTTTTCAGAAGATTACAGCTATTCAGTTATTCTCTCCAGTTATTTGGAATAGTTCTAAAAATGAAGGCTGAGTTTTCTGTTTTGCAGTTCTTACCTATAACCCGTCATAACTGTTAAGCTTGGTGCAACTACATTAGAGGTGGGTGAAAAGAGTCTTAGGGTGAAAAAAATTATGCATTCCTAAGAATCAGTTTAAATACCAAGACAACCTAGAAATTAAAAAGGAATACATACAGGGCTGCATTTCATATGCGTGAAAATCTGTTTACAGAAAATCTTCGAAATGACAAGATGTGTGTCAGTAGGGCAGACAAAAACAGAGTGAATATTGCCTGTAGGGCAGATGTTTCTATATATATACACAAACATACACACATATATGTCTATTAAGAGACCTGTTCCAAGTTTGCCACTTAAAAATGACATGCTGAAGTAAGAATACAAATGTTTAAATAGCCGTCATTCTCTTTACATGCATGGAAAAGGCAATGGCAATAGAACACAGAAGACTTAAACTTCAATCGAGTAATATACTGTACCTTTGCAACAAGAACTAGAGTTCAAACCTACAGGACAGAATTTGTTCTAAAAAGCAACAGTGGGCTGGAATTTTCCACCACTGTATAAAAGCTTGGTGCTGTTTATTTGCACGTATTTGCTCGTGTTGCCCTGGAGTATGGCAGGAGGATTATCCAGGGGGATGAAGTGGGTGTAACTATTGCAGTCAACATCCCGTGACTGCACAGGGTCAGCCCAGCTCAGCTATTTACGTATCCTGAAATATCTTGTTCAATTCATTACCTATTTCCATGTAATTCAAAAGATGCCTTTAAAAATACAGAAATAATTTTGCAACAGGAAAAAAAAACACAACAAAATCAACACAGAGATTTAAATTCACGTAGAGTAGCTAATACATCAAAATAAACATATTTTCCCCTTGTGCATATATCTGCATTTATAGCATTATCTTGACCATAGTGAGATAATAATTTGCAGAATATGACTTCAAAAATACACATAAGATACATAAAATAAAAATAGCTTAAATAAGAGTATCTTCTAGAAACACCAACATGTGTTCTTCAGTCACGAGCTATAGTAAACCACTGAGAAAGAAAATACAGAAAAAATTACACATCCTAATTAAGACTGAAGTCAGAACTTCTTGATATTCAGTACAAATGCTTACATCTTTATCAACTCTTCCTTTTATTTGCAAGTGTTTGCAATCAAGAATCTGTGGACTCACTCTCAGATCCTCACAGCACTTGATTAGTTGCTTTCAATGAACTCTGATTTGTTTATGTTTGCAAAGCACAGTTGTAACAACAAATCATGCAGAAATATTTTATTGTTGTCAGGATTTTCCATCTACTATCATGCTATAGCTTTAAGCTGATGATAAGTCAAGATTTCCTACTGTGTCTTATGGAGGTATAAATATTTCAATACAATGATACCTTTGGCTTTGTGCTTGAACAAGGCAGTTTAAAACCAGTGTAATTTCTACAGAACAGCAGACTGTGTGAAGAACCAGTAAAATCTATGGTACAGTGCTATTAAAACACTAAGATGTCTTGGTTGAGAAGATACCTACAAATTGTTCTTTTGCTTATTTTCATTATTTTAGAAGGGGGTGGAAGACAAGGGTAATCTGAAAGCAGGACAATAATTATGTTTCCATGAAAAGCCTTGGTATTGGCCTCAATCAGGGTAGGCATGAGGGACAGAACAAAGTAGTGTTCAAGCTGGGTTCCAGCAGCTCCTATGTTACTACAGTCAATAGCTGCCCATTAGCCCCATGAGTGCTTTCTGGAACTGGCAGGGTTCCTGAGAATAACACGGTGTTGTCAAATCACAAGGCCAGACAAAGGAGCTGCTTTGGCAAACAAAAAGCTGAAAAGAAACAGCACAATGAGAATATAACCATAAAAAAGAAGAGGGCTGTGCTAGGATATGGGTCCTTAATACTATGCTCCACACCTGCATTCACAACCAATCTACCAAAATACTGAATACAGATCTGCCATTCAACCTGCAATAGCAAATAAAAAACTCACAAAACTTTAGGATGATGGATGGGCAGATTTGTGAATAGTCTGTTACCACTTCACCTGCATGTATGTCTTCCAAGCATCCATTTTAGTACAGAAAAAAACTACTTGATAAATCATAGTTCCACCAGCAGTTTCTTGCCACTGCTCTTCGGGGTCCTGCGAGCAGCCAAAAGGGGCTGCCAGCCTGCTGCCATCCCAAGGTAACAGCAGATGGCTCTACCAGCCAAGCTATGCTGCAGTAGTAGAACTGCTCAGTCAGCAGCCAGGCTCCTCCTGGAAATCCTTTCGCACTTCCAGTCAGACACAGAAAAAACATGCTGAAGATGTGCAATATGTGCCTTATTACTTAACTGCAATTTGAACAGACATTTAAGATCCATTATAAATTATTTTTTAGTAGTAGTTTGGCAAAGGAAGGTGGCACTCAGTCCCGTGGCATTCACCCTGATAAACTAACGGTAAGCTAAGAGAAAGAACATCCAGAAGGCTAAGGCACCTAAAGCATAAATATTCTTTGAAGACAATAGTTAAGTGATAGGCATATGATGGAAACTTTGCTCAAGTACCAAACACTCAGGGCTGTCAAACTGCCTAAAAGAAGCAAATTGAGTATTTTTCCCAAGCATAAGATTCTTAATATGTGTATTTCTTTTAAATGCACATAACCATCATTTTTTTTCACCTCACGGTGGAAAGTCCATCTTTCTGGGAAACAAGATGCACTTCTTGAATGCAGTTATTTACTTAAGTAGTTATTTCACTTTGGTTAAT